AAAAAAAAAAAGCCAACCTAGAGCGAGGGCAGGGTGGCTGCCGTGGGTTTCCCTCCCGGGGAGAGCCGGGCTGTGCGCAGGGCTCCTGCAAACCCCGCTCCCCAGCCCAGCTCCCAACTGCAACAGGATACCACAAATTTGCTGTTTATTATATCGAGCGGTTGGCATTCGGCAATCTCAACTTAAAAGGAAACACATGACTTCGTAAGAGCGCTTAATACTCGTCGAGGTTTTCGCGCAAAAAAAAAAAAACAACCCAACTTTTGACCACAATTAACAGAGAAAACTTCGGGAAAGTAGTAAAACGGGAGAGGGGATTTTTTTCTCCCCCCTCCTTGCTGCTCTTACAGTTGTTTTGTTTTTTCCTGAGCCTGTAGCCTGCAACTGGTGCCCTGCAAGTAGGTGAAGCTCCAGCAAGGCAGCTGAAGGCCATCTAAGACGACTTTTCAGGAGTGGCTTCCTCGAGTAATTCTCCTGGCAAATTACACGCGAATTGTTTGGGAGGTTTCTAAGAGAGTCCCTTAGAAAAACACCCGGGTGCGAAGGGGCTTTGCTCCCTACGTGTCATCACAGCGATAGGTAGAGTTGGAAAAGAGCACAGATGTCAATGAGTAGCGAATATAAAGAGGGATTTCAAATGGGCAAACCTATAAAAAGCAGAAACGCCGAGCGTGGACGTGCCCTGTACGTTCATTCATTCCCAGGTGAAGGGCACATAAACACAGGGACAGGCAGCGCGGAGCTGCAAAACCTCCCCTGCCCCTACAGCAGCGGTTGCAGGACCGCTGGGTGATTTTGTCAGCTTTTTGTGCTTTTCCAGATAGAATTAGTCAGCACAAACGCACGCCTAGGTCCCAGCAGAGAGAGAGGCAGCTGATAAACCGAGCCTATCTGCCCTCCTGCAGCTCCTGCCTCGCCAGCAGCCATACGCCGCTCCAAAGATTATTTTTTTTTTTTCCCCTTTATTCCCCATTCTCTTTCTCAAGGAAGAAAAACTACGCGGAGCGAGGCTGAAATCAGGCCGGCTCCTTCTCCAACCCCAAATTATTTTCTTTCTGCTACCAGCCTTCTCCAGAAAGCATTAAGCCACTGAACCATGAAGGGACCCTCTCCCCCCCTGCGCAGGCTGAGCAGGGCCGGGTCGCGGTGGAGCTTTTCCCTGCAGCGTGGTGCCCGAGATGGGCTCGGGGCTTCAGCTGCCTAAAACTTTTCCATAATTCCAGGTGAAAGGAGTTTTACCGAGAAAGATGCCGGTGGAAGAGCCTTGCCCCGGAACAGCCCGGAGGGGTGCAGAGACTGAGAGGTGGGGGAGAAGAGGGGGGAAGGAAAAAAAACCCCAAAACAAAAAAAAAAAAAAAAAAAAGAAAAAAAAGGCACGAACCCCCGACCCAGACCTACCTTCCCGATTTGGTAATCACCATCTCCGTGCCTCTTTTATGGAATTGCTCCCAAAGCTCTTTGGCTTCCAGATGCACTTTCGGATCATCTTCCACCTCTTCTTCTGGCTCCAGAGTTTTTAAAGGCCTCAGATGAGCTGCTGCCTGGTGGCCCAGGGAAGAAAAGGGGATACCAGTCTCTGCAGCCCCCACTAACTGATCCATGATGGGCTTAGCCAGAGCCCCGGGAAGGGAGAGGGCGGCTGCCCCGTTGGGAGGCAAAGCCAGAGCCGGGAAGAAGGGAGGCTGATGTCCCAACACAGCGCTCATGGCAAAGTCCGGTGCCCGGTGAGGTAAAAAAGGATGATAAGCCATGCTTGTCCCAGGGATTACTGGATCTCTCATCGGTATATTCATCCACTCCACTCCTCGGTCTTCCTACTGCTGGAATAGTCCCGGAGTGGTTTCTAACAGCACATCATGAAGAAGAAAAATTAAGATAATAACAATAACAGCAATAAAGCACCAAAAAAGGGTGTGGGGGGAAACAAGCTCTAGACAGCACAGTACGTGGGGGAGAGGCACAACTTCTACAGCCTACAACTTCCCGAGCCGGGACACATCCCCAGCCCTCGGGACAGCGGATT